CACTCATTATACATATTTCAACCAGACTGGAAAGCTCGTGTCATTGCAATAGGACTGTGGCATCCTCGGATCACAAGGTGATACTTCCCGTGGTTTCTTAATTATGTTTATTCAGTCTTCCCCCTTTTATATATTTATTACAGCATGACTCTAAGTCAATTAATTTTTTTAAGTAATATTGCTCATTAGAGTGATTGGGCATCCTCGGGGAAAAAAAAAAAAGGATCTACCCAAGTGGGGGGAGCGTTACAATAAGTACCAAAAAAATTCATTAATCCAAACACACAATCTAAATATGAATAAAAAGTAAAAATGACGGAAACATACTAAAGAATTGCAAAATATTAACCTAGGTCAAACGAATTTATAACTACTTAAATGCAAACTTTTTAGTTTAATTTTATTTATTATTATTATTATTATTATTATTATTATTATTATTATTATTATTATTATAACATAGGAAATGAAGGTAGAAATTGACTCTAGTTAGAATTATAATGAATGTCGAAAAATTATATATTTATAAAGTGAACTTTTCAGTTCTTTTAAATTCATTTCTTTATTTGAATTAATGTTTTAAAAGGAATGAATGTAAAAGTTAATTATTGCTAGAAAATAGATGTAAAAAAGTGAACAATAAAAATTTAATGCAAGAATTAAATGTAACTTATGAAGAATGAACAAGGGCATTGTTGACCAAAAACTAAAATTATAGGAACAAAAGGGGAAATCGAATGTTCTCACCTATATTTTTAGGGTACTTTGATTGCGAGCATGGAATTTGTATGAAAAGAAAATAAATAATAGGCAATTCAATCAATTAAAACTTATTTGTATGAAAATTATTAATTAAATGTGTTCGATTAATTTGATTTTCAACCTAGAAAATATTATATTTTTTCATTTTTAATTGGTAGGTAGATGAGAGAGGAGATAGATGAGAGAGAAAAAGAGAGAATGAATTTCCTATAAAATAAAATCATACTCAGCCTAAAAAAATATTTTCTTTAATTTTGAGAAAAATATGTTCATGTAACCAAAATTATGAACATATTTTCATAAAAAAATGTTAATCAAACAGAACAAAAATAAAAATTTGGGTTAAAAATTATATTTTTCATAGAAAATATTGGCAATCAAATGTAGGGTTGGCAACGGGGCAAGGGTCGGGCAGGTACGTTGGGAGTGGGCTCCCCCATCCAACAAGGCATTTCCCTCCTTGTTACCTGTTTAAGAGGAGACGATTATAATAATAGAGTTATTAAATTTTTTATTTAATTATTTTATTTTTTTAAGTTAACTATTCAAATATATTTAGTAAATTAAAATTTTTATTATTTATCATATCCCTTAGATAATCTTAGTTGCCTTCATCTATTAGAATTAATTAAATTTCGTGGAGTTTTTCCATTTAAAGTATTAACTTCTTTATAAAATCAATAAAACAATAAATGGGGGTTTGGGACGAGGACCGTACTACATGTACTCTGTTTGGGGCAAAATTTCCTGCACTTGTACCCGACCCAATTACCCGATTAAGTGGGTAATTTCTGTTATATATTTATGGTATAAATATAAAATATGAAAGAAATAATCAAATTAGATAAAGTGCCAAAGTGGTGGGAAATGTGACATTTGTGTGGGACGTCAGGGGTTCGGATCACTCCCCACGTAAATATTAAAATGTCTTGATTTGGGCCTTGGGGCCTTGGGCTCTTGGGCTTCCTTGACTAAAATAAATATTTTTTTTTCTTCATTATTTAATGGGTAAAACTAGCCAGTATTTTATGACTGTTTGTTTTTGTAACAACCCACTAACTGCCATTAAACACCCACTACTCAGTCATTAAAATTCTGCATTAACATGGTGAAGACTGTTACTACCATCTTGCCTATATAAACCCATATCTTGCTTTGGGAAAAGACACACAAAAAGAAAATAGAATCAATCACTCTTTTCATATTGTGAACTTCTTATATTCGGGTTTTTATACCTATTCTGGAGTACAATTGAGAGTTCTAGAAAAACCATTCGTGATTGCTGCATAAGTGGTTTACGATCGTTGTATCCTGGGAGTGATTGTCCACGGAGGTCACAGCAATTATTGACGGGCAATTTCACTTTAGGACATCGTGCTGTCACGAGACTCGATCGATAAGTTTTATATTTCTGCATTATATTGTTCTGATCACTGCTGCAACTAATTATTTTTCCAACAATTTCCACCCCGAACCCCCCACGGGTATCGGATTTGTCGGATATTTTTGCCATCCTAATCAAATGCACCCTTAGGATAATTAAATTTACACCACAAGTATTACTTATTATACTATATTTTAATTGCATTTAAGGTTCTTAATATTTGCTCATTATATCATTTATGTTCTTCATGATTTTTCATGTCATTCTTAGCCTCAGATTTTCTATTCGTTACTATATTTTTTATTTGATAACAATTTTACGTCCAAAAATTTGTTAATGGCCACCGAATTTTAAAAAACTAATAATAAATCAGAATCATGAAAAAAAATATTTTCACTCAATTGAAAGTATATAAACAAAATATTTTGATATAAGTCATCATTAAGAACAAAACGTATTAACTAATGGAAGGTTCAAAATAAGAATTCGACAGAAAAAAGTTGAAGAAATGATTGATACAACGAACAAATATTGAGAAACTTAACCGTAATTGAAATATGGTATAACAAATAAAATTTGTGTTTTCAATATAACCATTCATATTTTTTTATAAATTGTATTAAAATAGATGTTGATGTAGTAATGTTGACCTCTATACACATTTTAATTTACACAATTTTAATATATTTGTATTTGTTTAGATTTGCCTTTTAATTATCCACTTTTAATTTACAGATTTTTTTAGCCTACTTTCATCACAAAAGCAAGTTTTTCAATAATAAATATGAAACACGACCTCCG